TTTTTTTTCTCAAATTCGAATAAGAATCTGAAGATGATGCTCAACCAAATGTTGCTTGTTTTGTGTTTTTGCATCACATATTTGTTTTTCGGATTTTTTTGACGACAGTGTCATCGCCCGTACGTCGTACGGGGGTCTCCGTACGGCTCGTGCGTACAGACGGACGGACGGCCGTACGGGCGTACGGACGACGGTCGTCCAAAGGTGTTTTTGGGGCAAAAAAAATCAAAAAATAAAAATAAAAATATGGGGTTGTAGATCTTTTCGAGATCTACAACGCCATTTTTTTTTTCTATTTTTTTGCCTTAAAGAGGTACAAAACAGCAATTTGGGACCTCAGCAAACCTGCGTCAAACTCCCTCCAAAGACAGGTGGCTGCTTTTCTATGGAGGGGGAATCACGAGTGCCCAAATGCTATCAGCAGAGTGGCCTGGCAGTTGGTCATACAACCAAAAACCAGAGGTGGTCTAGGAATAATAGACCCGACCACCCAAGTGATGTCCCTGGCCCTTCAGTGGGTGAAAGGCCTGCTCTTTTCCACACAGGCGCCTTGGCAACCGTTGGCACTACAGCAGATTGTCAGGCTAGCACCACAGACAACCTCTGAAGTAGAACCGGAAACGTGGCTTGAGGATAGGTACTGGACTATACCTCAAAAATCGTCCCGGCATAATCTAGAGGGAGAGTCTGACAGGCAGGCAGCCCGACATGACTTAAAGAAAGACCCTCTTTGGACCACGCTATTAAGGATGTGGAGAAAGCTGCCCCGACCTGACAAAGTCCCGCCCGAACGATGGGAAGAAGTAGCTAGACAACCCCTTTTTGGAAACCGATGGGTAACAAGATCCCACAGTAGGGTCTTTCATAGTAATGAAAACCCCTGGAAGGGGTGGGTCAAGAATGGAGTCCTTCGTGTCAAAGACATCTTGGACCAGGAGACCAAGGATTGGCTGTCAGAGACCCAATTGAGAAAGAAACTGAAGTATTGCCATAAAGTGGGAGAGGCGTTGGAAACCATCATCTTCGCTATCCCCCTAGACTGGATCCGAATCTTGAGGAAAGGACTGGTGGTGTTGGAGGGTGACTGGGTGGGGTTGTGGGGCACAGAAAGGTGGTTGGGAATATAGTCTACACCCGCCGAGCCGGAAAGGAAGGGGAACACGAAGTGGCTGCCAACCTTTTTAGAATAATGGCGAACAATGAACTAGTGAGGTTGCAGCCAGAGGAGACGATATGGTATCGGAGGTCAGAAGTGTACCGTATCCACGTTCTTGAAGAAAAAGATCGATGGAGAGTATACAAACCAAACAAACCAATCCAAACACTACCACTTGACCCCGATGAATGGATATGGTCCCAGAAATATGGGAAAGGAAAACCTGGGGTGCGGCGGCTGCTGTCTCTCTCAGTCAAGGCGACCTACCGAATGCTGCGACCGAGATTAAATATGAAAGATGTGGTTGAAGGACGCTGGATGAAACACCTGAACATAGGGAGAGATATGCTACGACAGATCAAGTGGTTTAAGACGAACAGGGCCATGCCAACAAAATTGGCCCCGCTCCAATGGAAAATAGAGCACAGGTCCCTGCTGACAAATGACTGGCTGATAGATAGAACACACATAGAACAAAAGGGTGTGACACTCCCATGGTGGCATGGTGCAAGCTATGTACAACATCCTTCCCAGCTCGAAAATGGCCAGAAACCATAGAGCACATGTTCTTGCAGTGCCCGACAGCAAAATGGCTGTGGAGATGATGGGATCGCATATGGAGGCAATTAGACACTTCACAACCTTGGCCATGGGACTGGAGAGCACTCCTCTGTGAGACATGGACCTCGGAGCAAGCCACCCCCTTCGAATAAAATATGTTCTAAATAGGTCGCAGGGCGGTGATTTGGGTCATATGGTGGAGACGATGCACCCTCGAAATGGAAAGGGTGCGCCGGGATGGAACGGAGTTCATCATCTCAATAAAGGAATAAATACAGAAAGATATTTTTATTCTATGGGAAAAGCTTAAAGAAAAAATTACATACCTACATTCTAAAAAAGAAGTTGGACAACTTATTGAGAAATTATGTAAAGACTGGCTTGGCGGGGGAAAAGGGGTCGGGATAGCTAAGGTAATATAGAAGGGTGGGGAGAAAAAGGGAGAAGATATCGAAGCAGGGGAAAGAGACTACCACCTATGTTTCCAAGGCTGAATCCAAATCGACCCCTCCATCCCGCTCAGACCCTCCTCATACTTTCGGGACTACTTTCCACCCCCCCCTCTTGCTTTGGTTGAAATGGAATAGTATGGGGGGATTAGGGGCTAAGGGCAGAATGAAAAATAGAAAAGGAAGTTTTTTAAGAAAAATTAGAATGGAGGTCTGGGGGAAACAGAGGGATAGAAAAGATCGTTGTCTTGCTGAATGGTATCAGTCCTTAACTGCTCATCAGACGCCCGTCTTCTGAGGGTGAAGAGATACAGAAGGCAAAGAACATGTTATTCGTTAAAATATGACATTATAATGTGTCCTCTTTTCAACGAATTCATTTGTGGCTGCAGCCTAAGCAACATTGGCATGCCCATCCAGGGCTTAACCACATGCAGAAGAGCGCTGAGATCCGCACTTGTGAAACTTTATAACTGAAATCCCAAATGTGGAAGCGTGTAGAGACCCACACATGTTAGGCACGCCACCCGCGAACCCTGTGCGGAAGTGTGTTGGGATCCTTACTTGTTGAACTTCAAAAACGTGTTGGTGATCCTGCGGGGAAGTGTGTTGGGATCCATACTACTCAAAATTCATAAACGAATAACGAATGGCACGCCACACAGGGAACCCTGTGCGGAAGTGTGCCGGGATCCTTACTTGTCAAACTTCAATTTCATAAAATTTAATGTGATGAAAGATATTATATTGTGACACTGTCCGCTTTCTTACGAAATCGTTTTTCACTGCAGTGTTTCCACATAGACGTGCCCATCCACTCGGCCCAAATGCGAAAGTTTGCTGACATTCATAGTTGTTAAACTTTGTAAGCAAAATTAGCAATGTAATCAAATTGAATTGGAGAGACTCAGTATAATTCTTTCGATTATCCCAAAGTTACACTCGGCCCAGGTTCATCGTCTTGCTGAAGACGATTGTTTAGATGTATGATGAGATCCGGACTTGTTTAGAAGACTTGTGACCCTGACAATGGGCGGGAGTGTGCCGAGATCCACACTTGTTAAACTCAAAGCTTAGGTATGTGATGAGCAAGGTGTCATGATCGAACCGTTGTTGGTCAACACATCAAATTTTCTTTTACCAGGTTAGCCTTAAGTTATGCAAGCACACCCATCGTCTCACCCGAGACGATTGTTTGGATGTTGAAGAGATTCGGACTTCCGCATAAAGACACCGTCATCATCTCGCCCGACATGAGGGCACTGAGGAACACACTTGTTTACAATTGTGATGGGCAAGGTATATTTTAATAACCACTTTTTTTCGAATTTTCTATGCACAAGTGTAGAACTTAAAATTCTGCTCATTCACGATGAATATCCGCAGTTTAAATGGTAATGCAAAGAAGGTTTGGACATCCACTGACCACTTTCACATAAGATGACATTTCTCATGCATCCAACAATCAGTTTCACAATCATGTTTACACTTCTCTTTTGAAACATGGAACATAATACTTGTAGTGGAACATAGTTCGAAACATGGAACATAATGTATGGCATGTTCCGCTGCATTAGAAACGACTGCGACGTGACAGAGATCACAAAGCCCATACATGACGCAGGACATGCAATGAGCTTGTTGTAGACAACCTAAACTCGGAACGACAAAAGAAAGCAATGTCTTTGGCAGAAGGACAGTTGAAAAATGTCTCCATGCTTAAGAAAAGAACTCAATGAACAACGAATGGAACACCTTAAGAAAAGAGTTTTCAAGTCAATCAAATCCATCACAGACAACGATGTTGTAAGAAACATGATGGTAATTGTCGTGTAAGAAGCGGAATATCTTTAGAAGATAATGTCTTGATTTACGGAATTCAATGAACAACGAATGAAACACCTTAAGAAAAGAGTTTTAGTCAATCAAATCCATCAAAGACAACGATGTTCTAAGATACATGATGCTAATTGTCGTCTAAGAAGTGGAATATCTTTATAAAAGAACTGGAAAGACGGTCGATCTCCACGTTGCAACAACGTCGCATACATCAACATGAACACCCCACAGCTTGCTCCATCCACTTGTCTCAGAAATCCATCCACCACAACATTTCGCACTATCGACTTCCAACTCCTACCCGACCGCCTATGTGATGTTTGACGTTCCAAATACTGCACAATCAACCCGAAAACAGAAAGGTAAAAACTAGAATCAGATAGAACGCGAGGAAAAAAATCAAAAATTTCGAGAACATCATCTCTCATGTTGATGGAAAGGAGGATTCAGTGATCATCATCTTTGTGGACAGGAACGAAGACAATATCGTAACGAAGCAAATCTACGTTTCTAGCCCACCTCCGCACCCCACCATGTCTTTGAAGTCGCAGTTTACTGAAGAAGAACGAATTAAAGCTGAAGACTTGAAGGCCCGACGAGATGTCACGTGACCCACATGCGGTTGACCCCAACAATGCCATATAGAAATTGACCACCTCATCATTCACCCTGCCGTCGACATGCAGCAGGGTGAGGAGATCTTTTGCTGCAGTCCGAAATTGGCTATCGCCCAGTATAGAGAGAACAGTGTGAGACGGCACCGAGCCTCGTAAAATGTCGTCCAAAACCCGCAAGCTCAGAGGCGCAACCGCTGTAGCGAAACTTTTCCCGCGTGCTGCACTTGCGGCCCGCACTGCACAACATCGAGCAAAGGACACGTGGGGTAGTGAGAAACGGAGTTCTAGGCATTATCCCCCGGAGCATGACGCGTTGCTAAATACTTCTCATACATGGCCTGACCCCTACTCACAGATCGTGGATATGTCCCTTTCTCTGGGGCAAGAAGGGAAAGACATTCCTCAATGGCAACGTTGTACTCCTTCTTCCCGATCTCGACATCAACCCCTGATGCCTTTAACATATCCTTGTGTTTTGTAGTCAACCCGGGGACTTTCTGCAATATGTGCTCAGGATATTTGGAGGACCTCCGTGTTCGAGACGACCCCTTCCCTCTACAACAGAAGAAAGACACAACGGAAAATGAGAACCATACAATCGCACAGACGCAACAGTCAAGCAGGACCTCTCCGACCATAGGACCCTGATTTCGCATGGTCATGTGCACCCAGGTACGGTTGTGATACTGGAAAACAAAACGACTGCAATATTCTAGCTTAACACCCCCGCATTTCGCAAAGGAAAACCACCACAACTCACAAAAGCTAAAGGCCAGCAGTCCCCGAAGTTCGGACTGCGACAGACTTTTCAACACACCAGCCCCACTGAGACTGACCACATCACGCATCGACAAAGGAAGTTCGGATCCCGGCGGACTAAAACTGACACTATTCCCGAGAAGGGAAAACCGTCAGTCCATGTACTTGGCCACTTCCTCAGCCGGGGCAGATCCTTCCTTGGATGGAGTGTAAGTTTGTCGAGGAACTTTTCGCCGCCCTTGACCAGCAACCCGGCCGAGTGACAGATAAGCCGACGAGATGTATTAGGAAGGGCTGGTGGCTGCAGTATGGCGGCATCCGGAACTTCTCGTATCGACAGATAGTGTGGACAGCCGTCGTGTGCATAGCGCGGACTGTAATCCGACCACATCCGGATGCGCAGGCAGTTTGGCGTTCTTCACGGCTTACCAGTCTGTTTCTCTCTCCGCTCCTTCGATGGGGAATTTGGCGCGGGCAAAGCGAGCACGTCGAGAGCTTGACCGCTGACCCTCGATTTTTTTGGGACGTGACATGTTGTCGTCCCCCGACCTCGCCTTCCTCTCCGGCGGCAAGGGTGGCCGTCAGGGCCAGGGACTTCGGCGGCGACGAAGCGAGGGCAGCTGCAAGGGGAGACGTGACGTTGCCAGTTTCGTCGATGTCAGGCGTTGTGGACGGACGGGCAGACACGTTGTGGTCGCTGAGGATACCGTCGATATCTTTGTCGATGCTTATACGGCGACTTGTTCTAGACGGGCTGATAGCGACAGATGCCTCGTCGAAGCGGTGTTGCAAGTCGACAGCAGACGTCAGTGGTCGGACCTCATAATCTTCAGGCTGTCTGGAAAGGCTGCTAACGACCTGTGTCTCCATCTCTATCGTCGTGGCATCGTCGTCGACATCATCCTGATGCTCTCCGTACAGTTGTCCGAACTCGTCAGACGACTCTCCAGAACCGGCATCGTCCTCACTGTGCTCCACCTCGTCGTCTCCAGATCCGGCACCCTCCCTTCCTCCAAGCAAATTCAGTACCTCCGTTTCTCCCGCTTCCTCCCCTTCCTCCTCTTCTTCCCCTTCTTCCTCCCCTTCTTCCTCCCCTTCTAGCGCTCCCCTCCGTTCCTCCATTTTCTCCCCTACTTCCCTTGCACGAAACTCATCCCCTTCCGCGGTACCCGTGCTGAATCCCGAGGACCGCCCTTCCTTCTCCGTGCACGCTGCCCTTCTCAACGGCACGACAATCCCTGGCCGACACCCCCCGCCCGAAGAAGTTCGGATCTCGGCGGACTTCGTCGTCTCCGTGTCGCTGGACCCTGTACCTGCAGCCTCTCGCTGCAATCCTTGCGGTCGTCGCTCCTGCTCAGGCGACACCTTTCCCATGTTTCCGTCCCGTGCCGCAATGCTGCCAATTTCGGGATCCTTGCTTGGCTCCCCCGACCCCGACCGGCTTTGCATTCCGGCCCGCTCTGGGGGCTCCTCAGCGGACGTAGTTCGGCTCCCGGCAGACTTCAACTTTTCGCCGGAGCGACTGCCCAGAGCAAGCAAAGCTGCCAACGTGTCCCTCGCTGAGCCCACGGACGAAGTCGGGAGGTCGGCGGACTGTGTCGTGTGATACGGGCAGGTGCCTATCGACGGAGGCCGGTCGACGGCGAAACCCGCCACCCCGCCGCTGCCTCCCGGTGTCGTGTTGCGGCCGTGAGACCCCCTCTCCCCACTACTTGGGATTCCTTTGCCGACCCCCGCGCCACCACCCCCATCCCCTCCACTCCCAAGTGCCCCCCCCCGGAACTACCGTTCGGGCCACTGGGAGGGGGCACTTTCCAGTCCACCATGCCCTTTGACGGACTCGTGTCGAGGTCGTAGTAGTCCTCCGTCAATTCCAACCAGCATTTGTCCTGAAGCTCATCGAACAGTCGACCAGCTGTGGAAATGAGGGACAGGTTGCCGGGTGCAAAGGTGTCATTCTCGGCCGTCACTTTCTGGAGGACCGAAATCCTCGCGAGGTGCAGGAAGTTGGACTTCGACTCGCGCGGGAATGACGCCCATCCCGCGCCCGGGATTGCGACGGCCATGACCCACTCGCCCTTTCGTATCGCTGGCTGGATGACTCCCGGATGCCACACCATGTCATGGCCCCATTTCAGCTCAGGCGAATGACGTTGTGGCTCAAGCAGGAAGTGGATGTGGTCATCCTGCCAAGATGGATGATCGGGCGGGATGTCGGACCTGGGACGCAAGGCGGGCCGGGGGCCGGCCAGAGCTCTGAGTCTCTCCATCAACTTCATCGGCGTGGTGCCCGGCGGTGGTTTGGCCGACGGTGACACGAGGGCTGCAGCGCTCGGTGACGGACCGGCCGACGACGACCCTCTGCCATGGTCCGCCGGAGGTGGGTCGTACTGCAGGTCAAATTAATGCTCTCTGTGTCGCTCTCCTCCTCCTTCGCGTTGGCGACAAACTCCACACCCGTGGCTTCCTCGTCATCAGTGGAGATCAGCTGTGTGTCCGAAATTGGATTCAACGCGGGTTTCGCATTAAAAAATTCAACGCGCGTTGAATTCGCCTTCAATCCCCGTTTGAACGCGCGTTGGATGGGGAAAAACGGGTTCCGCAATGATTTTTTTTCCTAGGCCAAACATAGTCGGAAAAAAAAAACAAAAATATGGGATCGTAGATCTTTTTGAGGTCTACGACCCCATATTTTTATTTTGTTTTTTTGATCTTTTAATATATTTTTAAAAAATCAAAAACATTAGCACAATGAAAAAACAAAAGCAAGAAATGACATGAGTCTTTTTTTTTTGGGGTTTCACAGAGATTTTTTTAAGGGCTAAAAAAAAAACAGGAAAACAAAATAAATAATATAGGGTTGTAGATCTTTCAAAGGTGTACAACAAAATATTTTTTTTCGTTTTTTTTTATAACCTCGTGTATTTTTAAAAAAATCAAAACCATAAACAACATATTTTTTGGCCTGCATGGCTTAGGTAATCTTGCTGGGTAGACTCCCTGTTGGGTAGTCTCCCTGATTTTGCCTTCTTCGTTTACTGTTGTTGTAACCACCACCATCAGATCATTTGTGATCTGATGGCTGGGAAGCACTCTGTCGTGATTTCCAGTGGGAGGTCTCTGTTTCTTTTCTTTTTTTTTTGCCTTTCTCCTGTGTTCTCAACCCAGGAACTCGTAATGAACCTGTCAGGCCGCTGCCACTCAGTGTCACACTGGATCGGCCACACTCCAATCCGTCTGCTAATGGGACCATGCCCCTGGGGTGTGGTCCCATTAGCAGTCCGATAGAAGCGTGGCCGATCCAGTGTGACACTGAGTGGCAGCGGCCAGACAGGTTTATTACGAATTTCTGGGCTGAGAAAACAGGAGAAAGGCCACAAAAAAAAAAAAGAGACAGAGACCTCCCACCGGAAGTCACCGCAGAGTGCTTCCCAGCCATCAGATCACAAATGATCTGATGGTGGTGGTTGCAAAAACAGTGAACAAAGTAATCGCCAGACTTCTGACAGCAGTGATCCTGGCACCCTCCATATACTCCGTGATTGAAGGAGGGCTCCACCCAATGAGATAACTGGACAACAGCAAGTAAAATGCTAAAAATCTTCTATCCAGTGGGCTAAGGCCGACCCCAACCTCGTTTGGGGTTGGCCACACCCCCAACCGATTGAAAAGATTCTGGCGGGAAGCTG